TCGTATTGTTTCAAACGGCCTCAGTGAAAGTTACGCTAGCGCTCTGCAATATCACGGTAATGAATGGCCATTTTTTGTCAACATTGTCCATGATCAAGTGAATCTGGAAATTGAAATATTAGAGGTTGGTCGTTCAGGATTACAGGTGTCTGTCTACAAACATTAATGCAAATGTAGGTGTCAGAATTATCTCCCAAAGTCTCTGAATTTAAGGACTATATTTATTGCTACCCAATCAGATTCAGAGGATTGCCAAATGCTATTGTTTCTCTGTCACACATCTGTACGTCAGCCAACGTCATACAAGAATCAAATTATTTTTAGTCACAGCACGAAATATAAACGATATTTTGAAACAAATCACGGCAATAATACATGACTAAATACAAAATTTCAATAAATTGTAACAAAAAAAAATCAAACAAAAAAAACGATATGGTCGAAGATCGTGATCGGTCGATTCGACGACAAAAGCCAACCGTTGCAAGAGAAAAAAAACAGGCAAGTTATCGCAACTGCAGTATTTTAGTCTTCAGTGTGCTCAGGTAAGAAAACAGAAACAGTTTGTCTCAGCAACATTTAATATTTGACCAAATATGCTAGCCCTTTCCTTGCCTCTGAGATAAAAGATAATATCAAAATGATAGTTGAAAAGTTAATCGATGTTGTACTTGATCTAAGGGAGGTAATCAATTTTGATAAAAATAACAACACAGCTACTAATATCCAAACCCGAATGATAAAAGATAACAGTTTGCAAATACATTAGTTAAATAGTTATTAGCAATGTATTGTCATTAAAAACATATATATCAATTCTCAGATGAGGAAGTATTTCATGTAACAAAAAATGATGAAAACCAACAATTAGTGGTATATAAAATAATGGAAACATCAGGTGGCAACTCGACATACTATTGTGATGACACTAAGTATTTGTAGTTACAGTTAATAAATCTTTCGATAAGGTTATGATGAAGACTTTAAAAATCAGCGTAGAAAGAGCAGGCTTTAGCGTACCAAGTGCGGAATCTTGCTGAACATAAACGGAACCTTGTATATGATTTTGTCTGTTTCTTTTTCATGTTCCAGACGCAGATTCAAGTAGGATGAAAATGGTTGATATTTTAAGTTTAGAATAGATGTTAAATCATTCCGCTCAGATACATTGAACTTTGAGATATCTTCAATTTATTTTTTATTATTTTATGCCCAAAAGTTTATACAAAATCAGATTTCATACAAAAATAATAAAATGAATGAGACTAAAAATATATACAAGAAGAAAGCGATTAAATAAATATAAAATAAACTAATAATCATAGTTGATTAAGAACTTTGAACATTTTTCAAAAAACAAGACAATATAAAATTTATAATCATAACTACTAATACTTAAATTTCATGTTGTGAAAAATCGATTTATTTTCCGCAAGCAGCATGGCCACTCGTCGTAGGTGACGTTGTTGGGCTTGTAGTAGGAGATGTTGTCGGACTACTAGTTGCTGATGTTATCGGACTGGTAATTGGACTGGTAGTTGGTGATGTTGTCGGGCTGCTTATTGGATTGGTAGTGGGGCTGGTAGTTGCTGATATTATCGGACTGATAATTGGACTAGTAGTAGGTGATGTTATCGGACTGGTAGTAGGTGATGTTGTCGGACTGGTAGTAGGTGATGTTGTCGGACTTGTATTAGGTGATGTTGTCGGACTAGTAGTAGGTGAGGTTATCGGACTAGTAGTAGGTGATGTTGTCGGACTTGTAGTTGGTGATGTTGTCGGACTGGTAGTTGGACTAGTAGTAGGTGATGTTGTCGGACTGGTAGTTGGACTAGTAGTAGGTGATGTTGTCGGACTTGTATTAGGTGATGTTGTCGGACTGGTAGTTGGTGAGGTTACCGGACTAGTAGCTGCTGATGTTATCGGACTGGTAGTTGGACTAGTAGTAGGTGATGTTATCGGACTTGTATTAGGTGATGTTGTCGGAATTGCAGTTGGTGATGTTGTCGGACTGGTAATAGGTGAGGTTGCTGGACTAGTAGCTGGTGATGTTATCGGACTAGTAATTGGACTGGTAGTGGGTGATGTTATCGGACTTGTAGTTGGACTGGTATTAGGTGATGTTATCGGACTTGTTTTAGGTGATATTGTCGGACTTGTAGTTGGTGATGTTGTGGCACTGGTTATTGGACTGGTAATAGATGATGTTGTCGGACTGGTAGTGGGCGATGTTTTTGGAGATGTGTTAGGGGATGTTGGCAGAGATGGTAGACCACCGAATTTGTCATTGCATTCATTAACCAGTAACCTAGCAAGTTGACACATCAGATTCAGTTGATCGTTGCACGAATTCACTTTTTTTAGTAGAACCAAGCACGACTGAATGTTGAGTAGTGAGTTTAACCTTGACAGATCTGCGGCAGTTGGTTCCCCTGATAAATTAGAAGTACATGACCCAGCACAAAAATCTGCGAATAAGAAAAATACACAACATTGACTACCATCATCCAAACAAACTTGCCTGGTCGCGGCTTGAAATTCGTTGCAATTTCCACCCAGAAGTTTGAATGTTTCGGTAAGGATTATAGTTGGTGATGGTTGTTTATGTTTATTTCCATTCCCAGGACCCTGATCTGTATTAGGCTCCAACCAACACATTGCACACCTTGCAATAACAACCATTACTAAAAACTCACACCTCATCCTGTGTTTTTAACTCCTCTGTGGGATTTTTGTTGCTTTTATACCCAATGTCATCGATTAAATTGATTTTGACACGTTTTGCACCTTAAATATTTAAACTGTAATAGTATGATAATTTTGACACACGAAGACAATGAATACTGTTATCTGAAAGATGATCGATAAATCGACTGCGATAATTATTTTAAACGAAAAGCGTGAAATTTAAAAGGTGCAAAAGAGTACATTAGTAAGATATGATTAACTGGATAAAATCTAGTAAAATAAAGCATAATTGTTTTGTTTTGTCTCTTTGTGTGGCGAAATAGATCGACTCCTACTTAGTCTTAAATCACTATTATGGCAGTTGTCGGTTAAGATGTCGAGTTTCACTGCCTATCTAACAAATATATTTTTAAAGGTATGTAATATTGTAGGTAAGCATAGTTCATGTAGGTTTCGGCACAAATTTTAACAAGAGGGTGGCAGATGTTTAAAGGGAACAGCGTTACAAATTCAGTCAAATATTTCTATGGTGTCACTAATTTAGAAAACATCTCTGAAATTAAGAGATTTAATGCAACTTTTCTGATCTCTGATCCATGTATCGAAAGGGAAAAATCTCTACAAGATAAAAAAAATGCCACTTTTCTTCATTGGTCTAATCTAATACGCAGTATTTTAATTTCTTGTTTCTTTCTTGATATTTGCGCTCAATTGTCACAGAATGTCTCGCCTCTCTGTCTGCTGTGCATGGGCTGTGATATGTTAACCTAGTAGGTGGATGGTTTTAAGACTTTCTATCTGCATCACCGGGAAACCAAGATAAGAAATAGTCCGATAAATCTTGCCCTATCAGTTCCTTCAACATGATTTCGTCACAGTTACGTTCGCTAGTTTTTGAAAAGTTTCACCACAACATAAGTCAACTTTGGCAGAACTTTTGGTATAAATACAAAGCTGAAACATTCAATAATCCATCAAGAAATTTCCGGATATTCCACAATGCCCTTGTATTTATGGTGGGTATTACATTTATAGTGGGTATTACATTTATGGGTAATACAGCCCTTGTGCCTCACCCGATACCACAATACAATCGAGGGGTAGGTTAATCCATTCTTCCTACAACCCCATAAGATAAGCCTACCCCTCGACTGTATTGTGATAACGAGGCACGGTTAGGTGTAGATTTGTCGGGCTAGCTGAAAAAGTACTGCATGAACAGATCAGCGAGCAAGAACTTAAGTCACTGGGCGAAAATCTCTGATCCATGTATCGAATGTGAAAAAATTAATGTAGAGATTACATTTGTCAATTAGTTCCAGTCAATATTAAAGGACAGTTTGCATATAGTAAAGCTAGACTCCAATAGTATATTAAATTTGATTTAATTATAAAATGAAATATGAAAAGAAAAATAAAACAATATATACACAGCTACTAATTAAAATTAACATATTCATTAAGCTAATTAACTAATGACAACAAGGCTATAGAAACTAAAAGAATAATTTAGTAATATCATGTTTAGGAATTTAATTGAGTTTTTTCACAGGATATATAAAAAGGCTTTTACAGTTTTAGAGAAAGTTATACATAAACTTGGTGAAAATCACAATAATATCTGCAGTGCATAACAAATAATAGAATTTAAAGGGATGAGTGCGCCATTTATCTTGACCAACCATACTTTAGTCTCAGAAACGAGTTTATTTTAGCTAAGCTAATCAATAATAGTGTTCACAGCTCACCATCTAAATTTGAGTCTTCAAATCCATGTATGTCCATAAGTACCCTCCTTTTAATGTTGAAATGACAACTAATCAATTTAGGATACTCTGTGATATATGGAAAGACATATAGAAAGACTATTTACACATATCAAAGACTAAAATCAGCCTCCCAAAATGGCACATCTGTACCTTTAAATAATTATTCAATTGAGGTTTAACTGGTCAAGGACTCAGGGCTTCATCATCCAAAAAGCACTTTAAGACAATTGGTAACTCTTATAGAAGTTGTTTAAGTCTTGATTGTGCACTTAATGATGAATATTAAAAGTGTATAACATTGAGGTTTGAGGTGCAGAATATTTGATATCAATAAATAATGAAAAATGTCACGACAAGGCACCTTGCACTCAGCAGCATGTTATGTTAATTCAGGTAGACTTTCAGTAGACATCAAGGCTTTATTTGGCATCAAAAGATATACATAACCTAGGTTATAAATAATAGCATGTGTGGTTCTTGTGGCAAGAATGATGTACTTGTTACTAGACTAGGGTTGAGTGCACATAATAAAAACAATTTTTTCAAGTCCAAAAGATTTAAACATAAATTCATTGAGCCCATTCTACCAAAAGATTTCAGTTCTAGGCAATTACCAAAAATATATAAGAACATTTTTTCAACATAAAACAACAAGTCCACTCTAGTTTGAGGTAGGTCATGTGGCATAAACTTGCTACTTATCTACCCTGAAACAAAATAGAATGTTCCCATGTTCGGCTGCATTGAAGAAGTTATAAATATCTGACTTTGCAGCTTTTGAATAAAACTCAATTTTGAATATTAAGAATAAGCATAAATAGACTAATATTGTCTTTTCTATTACACTAAATTTAAAGCATAAGAATGTGGATCAAAACTACTGATTGTTTTTGTTGCCTTAAAACCATTGAAAGGGATTGTAAAGAGGTTTTCTAAAACTTATATGTGTATCATGGACACTGATAACATCAATTTGCACCATTCCAATTTTCAATCAGACTGTGGTTCCTGCAATTCTGCAAAAAAAAATGTTTGATGATCTTTATTGTGTACATGCTTCTATCACATAAAACCTTCCTTAATTTTAGTGAAATTGACAGAACTAATCTGATTACATCTGATTACAAATTGGAATGATGCAAAATGATTCTATCAGTGTCCCCTACACAAATAAAATAATCTTTACAATCCATTTAACACTGACTTTCTGATGTCTATACTTACACACACAAGTCTTTGAAAAAAAAAAATATATATAATATGATATATCTACATGACGTTTCTTTTGCCTTTCAGAATGTAGGATGAATCTTTAATATAAAACAGTTATGTTGTAGAGTTGTGTTTCAGCCTAACAGCTTACATCTTGATTTTCCAGTTGACCTTTTGAACAACAACATTTCAACTGATGATTTACACTATCTTCTAAGACAGAGCTCAATATTTGCTCTCCTTAGCAAAATAAAATCATATAGATTTTGAATGTTTCTTGATCTTATTAATATGATGATCTATAGGGTATAAAATTCTCATTTGATTTTCAGAAGAAAACAATGTTAGATAATATTAAAGTTATGTGAAACTTGACAAACACAGAATTTTCCAAATATTTGAGAGTAACAAAAGCTAATAAATAAAATTTGACTAAATAAATAATAATAAAAATAAATATATTAAATCAAGTTTTACCAAAATAGCTTCTTTATTTTAAAGACAGTAGGATAACAGTTCTTGTCTGGCCATTGTAGGAGTTAGTAATGGTATACCACTGGGCATGGGAACAGATATAATCCTTCACTGATATCTCTCCACACAAAATTATCTACATACATCATGATAATGTTATTTCAAATTTAGAAAAATGAAATGACTGTTTTTTTTTTAAATCATAACTTATGATAGTCATATTATTTAGTATTGAACAGTTAGGTGATAAAATAAATGCATACCTGAAAAGAGTGTTTCTTGAGATACTTTACAATGAATGAAAATCAGCACTGAGTATCCATATACCACAAAAACAACTTAAACTTGGAGTACAACCAGTTTGCCAATTCTCTATACTTAGTCAATTCATGATTAACTGCCATATGCATATGTTAAAGGGATTGTAAAGGAGTTTTCTAGCCTTTTTATGTGTATTGAGGACATGTTTGACTTCCATTTCAGACATTCCAATTCTTCGTCCGATGCCTGTGGTTCCTGCAATTCCAGAAAGACTTAACCAGAAACGGTGTAGCTACCACAAGAGAATGTTTAACCAATCTAACACCAGACCACAATAACATAATAGAATATGTTATCTCCCATTACAAGATTTCTAACTAAAAATTGCTGACTCATTCACATTTTGCTTCACCGCTGGCTTATAAAACTCTTTACTAGATCTTATATTGCTTAGTGTTAACAGAATGGAAACCTCTTTACAATACCTTTAATTCCCTTAAAAAGATCAAGTATTCTTAAAATAAATAAACCATATCAAGTCAAAACTGTGGAGAAAAATAATTTTGATAATGAAAAATTAAAGCTATCACACTATTATGACAAAATAATGAAACACATCTAAAATCATAAAAATATATAGCTTTAGTGTGGCATATTAAAACTTATTACAAATATAAACTTGTAAGAGATATTCATTTCCATTCAAGTGAATTAGACAAAATAATAACCTCAAATATAGTGCAAATGTTAAAGAGCATTGGACAATTTTGACATGTCCAAGGTCTTAAAAAAACATACCAAGTCCTATGATCAATCAGATGGAATAAAATAGATTAATCAAAATCAATCCACATTTCCATGTAGGCATATACTATTTATTAAAAATATTTCTATGGCAACCAAAAGTCCAGCACTCTTCACTGACAATGAAAGTTATAAAAATATCAATGTAATATCAACTGCCTTATATATCTACAACTGCATGTTCACAAACACAATTGCAGAATGGCACCAAGACTAACCATTTATGTTCAACCTATACAAGCATTTTGATGGGTTAATTTGCATGATTTCAATTCACTGATTGGTTGAATTAAAAAACAGTACATCGATAATCATTGGCTGAAATCACATTAAGTCATTTTGTAAAGCTGATTATGACTGGTTGACAGCACAATATCAATTTATAACACTTATTATGATTAGATGACACTGTTACACTTCATATTGAGCTGGATAAGATCGGTTGTTTGGATTAAACTGTAAGGGACATAACCAATACATTGGTTGACCTGCAACAGAATTAATCTACCATTATCAAATCTAGATCCAATTTAGAAAATTGACACAAGAAGGTCACTTTATTTTTAAGTAGTGTAGGTAGTAATGAACACAATAAGTCTAGCTTGTTTAGTAGCAATTTCTATTTATACTACCACTCAAAAATGAAAGTGGTCATGATTATATTTTGAGAGGGATCAAGAAATGCAAAAATATCTTGGCTCCACTATACATCTCCCTGTAAACATCATGCTTGTGATAGGAAACAACCCTGCAGAATTTAACCCAAGTCAGGTGATTATGAAAGGGCATCAAATACTTTCTGATTAAATTAATGTTGTACATGTATATCAATGCTTTATTTTCATGGCTGTCAATCATAATTATTAACAATCATCAGCTTTAATAAAATAAACACCAACCTCTTCCAAAGACTTCCTGGAATAATGCCATTTTGGACTTTTTCTGTCTTTTTGGTCCATCTCTTTTAACTTGTTCGACTAATGTTTCATCATTTAATATTGATGACACCTAAAATAGTCAAGAAATAACTATGAAATATGAGCCTTTACAGATGATCTTGCAATATCAGTACAGTACAAGTATGTTATGACAAGTATATATCTTTATCTACAATTCAGTACTTTATATACAGGTGGAAAAAGTTATTGAAGCACATTACTTTGGAAACATTAAAAAGGTACAATTTGATCATTTCACTGTAGCATAAGAAGTGGTAACTGACACTATCAGACTCATGTAGTAAAACTGATGAATATACACACTTGTTGACCAAGTTTGAGACATCCCTGAATGTGCTTGATTATTACTCTGACAATATAAAATATTTATTACTACCTTACCTGATCACAGCCTATAGCTATCACAAACAACCCAAATAATATACATTCTATCACTAATATTACTGAATGAATACTGAAAATATAGTCAATATCAGTTAATCAAAGTTGAATACTGTAGACTGCAAGTCTCTCCAACACTGTTGCAGGTGTTTTTTTATTAGAGTGAAACCTGCCACATGACCAATGTCAATTGGGCTCAGATTCAAAAATGGCATTAACTTGAACAAATAATCATTTTGAGTTGAAAATCATGTTTGATTGAAGCCCCAAAATTACTGACTGCTATTTTGATCCTTAGGACATTTTCTATGCATGTTTGATAGAATTTCTGCATTCTTAACATAATATGTGTTAATATTTCAGTTGGCAACTTCTAAATTCAATAGCCCTGGATCACACAGACTCATAAAAAATCATAATGAGATATAAATAATACCGGTACTTACAGTTTTGTATGTTTAATGTGTTTACTAGTTTCAGGGTCTATAACCCAAGATGTTATTACCAGTCCAAAAGCATACAAACTTAATAAACCTACAAAATAAATAGAAAATTATTGTAAATAAATTCATTGCAAAGTGTTTGGTTTTTAACATCGCAACGTATACAACCTCTTCCAACACTGAATTCCCAGTACCACTTTTTCATGTTCTAGTTTACTAAATGTGCCTGTGGGTACAAACACAGATGTTATATTATACCTAATAAACAAATGGAATGAATGAAAAAAATTCAAAAAGAAAATACTGACCAACATAAAAGAGAAACTGGATGAAAAACTTCTGATTAAATTCACCAACACAATTATTAATCCTACAATGGAAAACATGTTTCAGTTAAGAAGTAGTGACTAAGCCCAGTTTTACTATCGCTATAAAAGATGGTTTACATGTTATGTAGGATAACATTTTGTTCAAAATTCTTTTCGAAAAGAATAACAATCAGTAGTCACTTTGTCTGTATCAAACTAAGACATTGGAAACCAAAACTCTGAAAGAGTGAATCACTGTATCACAGTGCTATAGGTCCAAAAACACATGTGTGTAAGTATGTGTGTCATATATTATGGAGGTATATAAACTACCACAAAATCTTCTTTATATAATTTTTCGAGAAAGTCTTATACACATTAAATTATATTTACCACGGACAATGGTGATCCATCCTTCTAATACACTGACGACAAACTCTACAGTGATGAGCTCTAGGTGGTCGATATGTTTCACATTTTATACACACTGTCCATCCATCTTTCTATAATACAAGATTAAAAATTGATTCCTCTAAGTTACTGCCAAATTTTAGTAACATTTACTGCCATAATTGGATGTATTTTCATTATAAAAGCTTGGTTTGATGATATCTCATCTCATAATAAAATTTTTATGGCTTAACTTAATAATCTGGCAAAAATAATCACGAAATATGAACTGAAACTTATTATAAGCTCATTTAGATTACATAGTCATTAGTTTTAGATCTGCCTATTTGGCATGCCTGGCATAGAATCTTACAGCACAATCAACAGCTCTGTCACCTGCATAAAACTTACATTTTTAACTAGAGGTTGCCCAGCATGATGATCAGAGAAGTCTATGCTGGTTGTAGGTAATGGTACAATACCAGGATCAGATAAAACAGCTCTTAGATGTGATACAGTCAATAAAAATACAATAATATTAAATAAAACCACATTCACAGCTCCCCACAGACTGGAATACAAGTATATCATATCATTTGTTAATAAGATTTAGTTTGTCTTCTATCAAATTCTTGTTATAAATGACAATTGTGCCCAGCTATAATAAGACAACGATGTGTATTTACTCTTTGTGATTCAGGTGACATTGGCCAAGTTAGGCGAGTAGAATGACAAACATTGTTTATAATAAATAATGCAATTTCTTCACACTTAAAATTCATTATGTTACCTCTCAGCCATGGTGGGGAGTACCAAATGTCTTACAACTACATAATCTGCATAAAACACAGCAATGTACGTTATCATAATACATATTACACCACACGGATCACCTCGAAATACAACCATTTCGAAATAGAAAAATTATTTTCCACCATAGTTTTTACAAGGGCATTACGGTTATCCCCCTTGTTGGCGGTGTCGATGATTTTGTTGTCCTTATTGATGTAGAATTTCATAGGAGAGAGAAGAGTCTTCTGTAGTTTGCACATTTTATAGTTACGTATCCGTTCTTTATTTATGATAATTAATGGCCATATAGTCAAGTCCTTAAATATTTTTATATGGATATACCAAACTACGTCACCTCACCAAGTATAATTATTCTAATTATTCTGACCATTATTCGGACTATTTCAGGAAATCTTTACTGTTGAAGGTTTGAAAGGCCCTTCATGCCAGCGTGCTTCCGGTTAGAAATTTGTAAACAGACAATAATTTTTGAGAAATAATAAATTTTGCGATAACGATGGCACCGAGACACAGGAAAATTAACGGGTCGTCAGATGAATCAAGTGCCATAGGTTCTAATGCGGTACCCAAACCTTCAAAGCAAAAAAAGGTATGCTTATAATATATGCAGAGCACTGGAACTGCATTGGTTAGTCCGAGAAATCTTCGGAGACCCTTCTTGCTTGTTGTTGTAACAGGTTTATTTGAAGATACAAGGAAACTCTGGGTCGGGAAACTTAAAGCAATACTTCAGAAATAAATAACAGAAACATGATAAATTTTATATAATTAAATACGACTACCACATTGTCAATCAAGACGTACTGCGCAGTCAGCTGTGTTTCCTGTCTATTCCTGTAATAAATTGCTAAATAGGCTTATCTATAAATTTATACACAGAAATTGTTAGCTAGTGATATTTAAAATAACTACAATTAAATTAGCTTCCAAGTACCAAAGAAGCATAGCCTACATGTAGCATATATGTAGGCCATACAGCCCTCAATTTACATGTCATTCGCAGGCAATAATAACGTGTAGACATTTTTTATTTCAGAACCAAGACAGTAAATCTGGAACAACCTTATTAAGAAGGTGTTGTGGTACTTTGAAATACCTTCTTCTCCTTGTCATTGTTCCACCTTTTTTAAATTATGCTTCACTTCAGAAAGAAAAGACAGAATTAAAGCCAGATGGTAAGTAGTAGCCTGTCTCAGTGCGATAAAATCAGTGTATGGACTTCTGAAGGCATTTTACACAAAAACATTATATTCCATTATTGCACTTTTTTTTTTTTGCTTTGTTCAGTTTTGCTAGAAATTCATTGAACAAATTGAATTAAAATGAAGGAGTCAGTCTTTGATTTTGCAATTTATCATGAGATCTAAAAAAAAAGTTTTGAGATTGAATGACTTTTTATTTTCAGGAGAGCTATATGATATTGGTTGGGGACAGAATCTATTTATGAAATGTCATGGAGTTGGTCCACCAACAGGTAAATTGAAAGTAATGTATTGATTTTGGAATAAGACTTGATAATAGTCTAAGCCTTCACAAAAGCCTTCATATATATCACTTTATATTTTGACGCCAGTATTTTATGGAGTTGATATTTCAACAAGAGTCGACTCACAGGACATGGTATTTATGATTATAGAAATATTTAAACAGAACTTCAATGAGTTGAATCATGTTGTTACTCAGAATTTCAAACTATGTGATCTACAAACAACTGACCTATTTTCAGATATCACTCTACAATTGATGTCTTGAGCACTATTGGCGGTGAAAATATTTTATTATTGTTATTATAGTATATTCACAATTGTCATCCAAATGATCCTAATTTGATTCATTTTTGTTTTCTACAGTTCTTTTAGACAGTCCAACTGGCATGACTTCTGATGTGTGGTCAAAGGTATGGCCAGAAGTATCAAAACATGCTAAAGTAAGTTGATTAACAATATATTTCAGCAACCCAATGAGAAATTTGTCATGTGGATTTTAGTGGTCTTTTGAAATTTTATTTTCTTGAATGTGCTTATGATTATCCCATTTTGATTAATTTCTATGATTATTTTGCCTTTGTTCTAGGTGTGTGTATATGATAGAGCTGGGTTAGGTTTCAGTGACAGACCTTCACTAGTAAGTTATTGTTAGATCATCAGTAAATAGAGGTAGATCAACATATTGAGAGGTACTTTAGTATAATTGTATTTCAATAGATTTGTTCTTGGAAGTGTTTTCTTGAGCATTTCATTATATGGTTATTTCATTATATGGGGTGCCTTTAATAAGTATTTTTTACTTGAATCTTTTTGATAATATATCACATTCTTGTTTCAGAACAGTTCAAAAACAAATGAAACAAACTCCAGAGAATGGCAACCATTTACAGTTGAAAGGTAACTTTTTTGTCTGTATTTCTTTGCACGACAATTAGAATAAATTCAAAATTAATTTATAGAGATACTACTTGTCCATGTTAAATGGGATCTCATTTTTTTTTTGTAACTTTTATTTCAGAATGGCTGCTGACCTTCATAGATTAATAACCAGTAGTAGTCAACAACCAAAACCATTTATTATAGTAGGTGCTGAACTAGGAGCTACAGTAGCACAGTTTTATACACAGATGTATGAAAGGTATAGAATTTATGTTATTTTCAGATCTCTCGAGAGAGTCTTTATCTGATATTCAAATTCTAGTCTGAGAAATAATTCTTTGGTGAAAAATAATTGTGTGATTCTTGAAAAGGTGTTTGATAAAACTTAATTTAAGTCTCTATTTATCATCATTTCAGTGATATTGTTGGTCTGATATTAATCAACCCATTAACAGAAACATTATTTGAACAAGATCAGGGAGTCTGGAGCCAGTATTGGTAAAGTTTATTAAATTTAAACATATCTGTTCTGACATCACTGAACACCGATATTGGTCCTTTATTTTTTTTGTGTAACCAATTTCTAGCAATTTGATTTTTATCAGCTCCATAATGTGCACAACAGAAGTTTGCAAAATTCCATCTCATTACAATTGGAGCAGTAACAGTGTTGCATTTCTTGTTTTTCTAGGTTTGGTCAATTGATACCAACATATCAAACCTTACAGTTAGGGGCAGCATTAGGTTTAACTAGATTAGCTTTATTATTAGGTGTTTTAAAACATCCTTTAGTTAATACCAATATAGATACAGATATAGAATATAGACAAGTAAGAGATATTTTACATGATGTTTTTTGTACACTACATGAAATTATCAAATAATAACATAGTGCAGAAAACACCTAATGATTACCCTATCATGATCCTTTGATTCATCATTGATGAAGACTCAATAGGCAAAAATGTCCAACAAAAGCATATGATTCTTGGTCCTTGTAAACTGCCTTGAGAGTGAGAGAATCGATACAAGTGAAATTATGATCAAAATTGAAATAATACAAATTAATTGTTATCATGTGTGAACTCATTTAGACCAAGTTCAAGAGTTCAATATGCTGATAAAAAACTTTTAAAAAAGTAAATTTAATGTTTGTACCATATTGGAGTGAATTAATTCCTTTTGATTGTGGTCATTCAATATTTTATATATATGATTGACCACCAAGATAATTCAACACTTGTTTCATTAAAAATATTAATTGATTTTCTCAAATGAGTATAAATAGTGGAATAATAGAGTTCCACAGTTACAGTTAATTTCCATCTTACACCTGGTATGTATATTTGAATCTTAACTAACTAGTTAAGGAGAAGAAAGAAAGTAGTTGACAATCCTACATTATACATTGCACTGTCTGTCAGCATTAACACATCTGGAGCAAGAAAAGAGTATGTGAAACTTCATTTCTAATCATTAACATGAGTATAGTTATACTTTTCACTGTTTCAGAAACATCTATTATGTCATCCTCGTCACCTGAGTACAGTTGTAGACGAACATCATTTTATAAATGATTCATTTTCACAAATAAAGTAAGTTACCTTATTAACTTTGGAATTGTTGTTTTGAAATGTGAAATGAAAATGTTTGGTCATAGAGAATACTAAGAAAGATTTATAAAAACTTCTCCTGGTCTTTTTATTCATGTTCGGGCCAGTTAGAGGGGTATTCTGCTTTTTTGTAAAAAGTTATCACCATCAAAAAAATTTTACCTGAAAAGTATGCTATTTATTTATATGTATCTTTTTGATCAAACTAAAATTGTTTAAACAGAAATAATTAAAAATGGAGTGTACTAATTGTTAATTAAGCAGTTTGACCTAGTTATTGTGTTTGGCTTTCTATTGGCTCGATATTAGTTGTTGAAACCTTTAGAATATGTTGGAGACAATAATCCATTTATTTTAGTCAAATCTGTACAGTAGTTTTCTGACAGCTTTTAAAAAGCATAATGAACTTAATATTTTTGGCATTAAAAAATTGACGTTTGTCTTTTTTAAGTTAAAACTTTCTGATACTTAAAGGACACATTTCACTATAATTTGGTGTATAGTTTCACAAATTTGAGCAAAAAATTTGTTTGACCCACAAAAAAGCTGAATGTCCCTTCAAAGCTTCTTATTGCATGGTTCGGATATCTTACGATTCCTCCTTTCTTCAAACCAGAAGTTATAAAAAGCTACTTTCTACTTTCTGAAAGCTGTGGGCAGTTTATCATCATTGTACATGTAAAATTTAATGGATTATATTATTATTACAGAACAGTAAGATTATTAAAAAGTATATCAAGTGAAATATCAGTTAGCATTGTAACTGGTAATTATTATGATGAACAAATGCCAAGCTCATTAAATAAGGTATTTATCATTTATTAGCTCCCATTTATTGTGGCCGATTATTCATTAACCTTGAGGTTAACAAAACAGTAGCAGGAGATTAAACAGTCTATTGACCAAAGTTGTTGTGGAAGTTCAAGATGCCTTGACCTTAGAGAATTGAAAAAGAAAAGTCCAATTGACTCATTCAGAATTCTACTATGTCGGATGTTCCCGCTTTCTATTAGCACCAAAAGCTTTAGAAAAATAGGATGCAAACCTTTAATTTATTTTTTGTTATGTAGATTGTCTAATAAGGTATGAGTCATACTATGACATTACCTTACCATTAAGACACAAACAAAACATTATTCAATGAAAGAATAGAGGATTTAATATTGTTTACCTAAAACTAACTAATATATGCTTTGATTTCACAAGACAAAAAAAATTGAGCATCAGTGAGATCAGAACAACTTTGATTTGTATGTATTAATTTGTATCATGTATTATTTCATAGTATTATGTTTATTCTTTGTAGGCATGGGCAAAAACTGAGCAGCAGTTGATCTCAAAACATTTTCCAAACGCTCAACATCTGGTGGTGAATGGAGCTGACCATCATATGATATATAAACAACCAGAGGATGTCAGCCAAGTTATAATCAAAATGATTAAACAATATAAAAGTCATGTCAAAAGTTCACAAAATAAAAAATATTGATATAAATATAATCATTTCTTGTTTTCTTCAAGTGTAAATTCCAACTTTCAGGGGAAGTAATTAAATGCATGTATATATTGATGAGATCTCAGACATGTTCAAAATTGGTAATAATCAGAAAAATGCTTTCAGAGTTATTGCCCTTGACTTAGTGAAAATGCATCAAATTTGGCTTGTAGGCGTGATACACGCTACAGTTTTTATCCGATCTTGATGAAACTTAATATGCATGTATATATTGATGAGATCTAAGTCAAGTTCGTAATTGGTAATAATCGAATGAACTTTTTTAGAGTTATTGGCTTTGACTTAGTAAAAACGTGTCAAATTTGGATGGAGGCACAATAAAGACTACAGTTTTTATCTGATCTTGATGAAACTTGGTATGTATGTATATATTGATCAGACCTCAGTCAAGTTTGAAATTCGTAATAATTGGATCACAGGTTTCAGAGTTATTGCCCTTGACTTAGTAAAAACGTGTCAAATTTGGCTTGTAGGCACGATATAGACTACAGTTTTTATCTGATCTTGATGAAACTAGATATGCATGAGACAATGAGACATTATTCATGTTTGAATTTGATGATAACTTGATGAACTGTTTCAGGTTTTTGCTTTGACTTCTAGATGATATTAAGATTATTTGAAACTTCATTATTAAGCCACAAAAGATTTTGTTACCATGTCTGACAGCTGGTAGTGGGCGTATGTTACCTTGCCTGGCAAGCTATCTTTCACAATGCCACACAACTCATAATTTCAGGAACCTATTCTAGACTATCCAATGATAGTTCTGATGCATTAGGCTACATGATTAATCTTTGGAGTCCACAAATATATTTGAAAAACAATTATTACTTGTGTTTGTGTCACCAAAAGGGAAGAACAATATCGGCCTTCTAGAATGTATATTGTGATTAAATGTAACACACCATTCTGAAAAGGCCGTGGATATTCGCCACCCGGGTGGCGAATAGTCCACCTCCATTTATTTGACTATTCGCCATCCAGGTGGCAGAAAAAATCTCTAAAAATTCATGAAATATCAGCCTTTTTGATATAATTGTTTCTTTCAATTACATATTAGTCGACTCTGAGTAATTTGTAATGGATTTTGTCAGGTTCAGACAAGACCGTGTTAATATAAATTGAATTTCTTACAATGAAACGAAAGTAGAAATTTCGCCATTTGTTTACACCAAATTAGCATACATCCCAAAAGGTCCTGTTAGTTTTGCTATGAAATTTAGCATCATATTCATTCGTTTGTATAAGAAATCCGTAGAAAAAAAATGAAATAAAATAACGTTACGTCCAACTTTTCTGCACCTCTATGGGCTACTGAGGGTAGGCAAACGCCATGCAGTGTGCAATGAGGGAAATTTTGTCAGGACAGCGACATTAGCCTACTCTTATTTTCGATTTCCAACTGTCGAGGGATCTTTACGTGGGTAAAAAAAAGGTTGATGAAGATGTGTGAATGGTAAAAAATAGGACATAGGAGGCGCGTGTCCAAATTGTGTCACATTTATCCTAGACGCATTTTCCAAGTAAGCCCCTCCGATCCCAAACACCGAAAAGGGGAAATAGAGAAGAAAAATCCAAAGAATATCAATCCATGGTTGGAGCCATCGCGAATGTGTAAGTCATGTATGTGGGCGGTAAATACATTGCATTGGGGTGGGAGGAAATATGTATTTGAAGTAATATGGTTTAAGGTATAATAAGGCGTACGATAATACACAATACTGACGGGTGGTAGATATGTGTAAGGGTGGTAATAAGGCGTACGATAATACACAATACTGACGGGTGGTAAGTAATGCTTACGGATGGTAATAAGGCGTACGATAATAAACCATACTGACGGGTGGTAAGTAATGTGTAAGGATGGTAATAAGGCGTACGGTAATAAACCTAACTGACGGGTGGTAAGTAATGTATACGGGTGGTAATAAGGCGTACGGTAATAAACCATACTAACGGGTGGTAAGTAATGTGTACGGGTGGTTATAAGGCGTACGGTAATAAACCATACTGACGGGTGGTAAGTAATGTGTACGGGTGGTAATAAGGCGTACGATAATACACAATATTGACGGGTGTAACACCTACAATTCTTGTTTGCCACCCTCAACTCTTGTTAACCACCTTAAGCTCTTGTTCACCCACCTAGTTGTTGTTTACCACCCTCAACTCTTGTTCAACACCCTAGCTGTTGTTCACCAACCTCAGCTCTTGGTTACCACCCTCAATTCATGTTCACCAACCTCAGCTCCTGTTCACCACCCACAGCTCTTGTTCACCTGATGTTCAGTTGATGTTTACCACCCTAAGTTCTTGTTTAACACCCTCAGCTCTTGTTTACCACCCTAACTGTCGTTCAACACCATCAGTTCTTGTATACCACCCACAGTTCTTGTTTACCACCCTCGGTTCTTGTTTACCACCCCAACTCTTTGTTACCACCCTAGTTGTTTTTCATTAATCTAGCCGTTGTTTACCACACTCAATACTTGTTTACCACTCTCAGCTCTTGTTTCATTAACCTAGCTATTGTTTACCACCCTCAATACTTGTTTACCACCCTTAATACTTGTGTACCACCCACAATTCTTGTTTACCACACTCAGCTCTTGTTTCATTAACATAGCTGTTGTTCACCACCCCCAGGTCTTGTTTGCCATCCACAATACTTGTGTAACACCCACAATTCTTGTTTGCCACCCTAAGCTCTTGTTCACCTACTTAGTTGTTGTTCACCATCCTCAGCTCTTGTTTACCACCCTCAGCTATTGTTCACCACCCTGGGTTATTTTTACCACCCTAGCTGTTGTTTACCACCCGTAGGTCTAGTTTACCACTCACAATTCTTGTTTGCCAACCTCAACTTTTGTTAACCACCTTAAGCTCTTGTTCACCAGCCAAAGCTCTTGTTGTTGTTAACCACTCTCGGCCCTTGTTAACCACCCTCGGCTCTGTTTACCACCCTAGTTGTTATTCATTAACCCAGCTCCCATTTACTACCCAAAAATCTTGTTTACTGCCCTCAGCTCTTGTTTACCACCCTCGGTCTTTGTTTACCACCCTCGGTCTTTGTTTACCACTTGTAGGTCTAGTTTACCACTCCGTTCCTGTTCACCACCCACAGTTTTTGTTTACCACTTCCAGCTCTTGTTCACCACCCTCCCATCTTGTTTACCACCCCCAATACTTGTTTACCACTCACAATTCTTGTGTACCACCGAAAATTCTTGTTAACCACCCTAAGGTCTTTTTTACCACCCTCAGCTTTTGTTCCAGCTTTCTTAAACTAATAGGGAATGTCAGGAATTCGCGTTTTTGGGAATCCGATTCTAAAAATCTTCAAAGGGTGGGATCTCCAACACACTATATAAAAAATCCTTAAATCCGCCGGAAAATGTCAAGAAAAAACGCTTCCGGGCCTAAAAAAAACTGAAGAGCCACGTGAGGTTTGTAGGTGACATGAATATCGAGACTAAATTTCATAGAAGTGATTCAAAAAAAAGTGGTTGCCAAATTGACTTAACACCGGTTGACTATAAATAGCCATCCAATGGGACAGCGATTATCAATTATTAGTAGGTGTTACTTTCGTACATTTTTCTGAAAGGAATTGCAAATAAGTGATTCTAATGAACATAAAAAAATATTATAATGCATGTAACGCTATAGCCTTCACAGCTAATAATGTCAGTCTTCAGAGAAATTAAAGTTTTAAAAAGGGGTGGCAAATAAAAAATGAGGGTGGCGAATAATTGTTTGCCACCCGGGTGGCGAATATCCTCGGCCCTGAAAAAAAATGACAATGAGAAATATGACATTTATTAAATCAAAATAAGCCTTAGAGCCATTCTGAATCATTCAAGGTGAAAATGAATGCCAAAATATCAATCTTGAATCCAGACATGTGGTAATAAGTCCTAGATAAACATTAATAATTCAGGCTTACATCTTCATACAACAAAAAGGAAAGACATAGTTCAATCCCTGTGAATATATTAGGAAAGGAAATTCGAAATAAAAGATCATGCCAAATTGGCAACTTATGTATTAGTGCAGGCTGAAATAAATATTGAATGACTGTAATAAGCAAAAAGACGTTTTAAATTTGTTTAGACCAGAAAATGAAAAGCTGATCTTTTCTCTATTCGGTGCGTCTTATCTGCAGATGCATCTTTTATACGAAACTCTATAAAATAAAAAAAATAAAAATAAAATCCATCAATTACTTTTGCTTTCACAATAATGTATGCGAAAGTACATAAGTATTGTTTTTCGTTGTCCCTCCTACATAATAGGCCACTGAAATGTATTCGGTAGTATTGTGATTTGTCGGTAGTTAAAAGATTGTTTACATTTCACCGGAAGCACGTGTAATAAGAGGAAATATTTAAGAATAAATAATCATAATAACGATTGTGAGCAGTGATCTCTCAATATATGTATACTCCGTGATTTTCTTTCGACACCGTATAGAGCCTCTGGTGCTATTTGAAGGTATTTTGTGGTAAATTCAACTTGCCATTTACATTCACACCAGCCAGCTGCTGTGTTGAATTTACACATCTCTATCTGCATGTGATTATTTAATCTATGATTTTATAGATTGATTCAATGTCATAAATTGCTTTGATAAGTCCTTGTCTTTATTGTTTCTATCAAATTCAAATTCTGTGTTTCTTCTTTCTAATTCTGCTCAAAGTTACCTGATAGGTGAATGGTGATAATATAGCCTATTCATTCAACATTCCATTGGATCATACTCTTCTATTATGTCATCACTATCGCAAAGGTCCTACAACTGTATCTGCTTTTGTGGAAGTGTGGTAGTGAAGTCAAGAAGTCATAAAATGCTTACTTTTAGTGAACATGTCTGGCTGAAAAATGGAATGGTCCAAATTGATGATATAAGAGACCCTGAGGCCTGATACACATAAAGAATTTAGATTAAACCTCTTTACAATCCCTTTAAATCAAGATATCAGATGAGCTTTTTTACAGGAGATGAATGTTTAGTGCTGCCTGTCAAATACACAAAAATTTTCCATGTCCAATTTTTAGGGAATCTAGATCAATCAATGCTCCAAAGATACAAAACCAAATTAATAATAGATAGGCTCTTGCCATTGAGAATATAAAAATATTAGCGTTTAAGAATTTAAAAAAGTAAAAAAAAAAAATAAAGAATGCAAATTCAATTGTTACATTTGTTTACTGTCTTGGACAGATAGATAATAGTTCATCAACACTTAGTGAGGACAGTAGATTTATTTATCTTTACTTTGTTTGTATCACATATTATCTCTAGAATGTGTTAGTACTATAGTGTCATTCTGGGGTCATTACATAGATCCTTGAAACAAGTTGGCCTCGAAAGACCTTAAAATTAGGGGTTGCCGTTAAAAGACCCCATGAATAGGGGTTGCCCTTGAAAGAGTCCTTTAAATCAACTTGATGGTAACCTTTAAAAGACAGATTTATTGAAATGAAAATATCTTTTATCAAATGAGTCTCAAAAAAATTGAAAAAGTAAGACCACTGCAAAAAAAAAAAAATTTTTTTGATATTCAGCACTTCTATTTAAACACTTATTACATATTGTTATCTAATAATGCAGCCATATTTCTGCAAAGTAGATTTTAAAAGTGGGTTATAGAATAATAACATGTCTAATTGGTCAAGGTTATTCACAGTATGTTGATGTTAACTGGGGATGATAAGTCAGAAGTAAATGACAACACACAGAGCAGTAAAGAGCTAGTTTTTGATAATCAGTTTTGATTTATGTATTTACAGTGAAAAATGGCACTAAATATAGTAGCACTGATAGTTCTAGGTGTATTTTATATATTAATTATGGGGGTTGGAATTCTTGCTGGGCGGAAAGTGAAAATCCATGGGTATGAAAAGGGAACAATGGAAGCCAATATGGTGGCTGGTAGAGACCTCAATATGTGTGTTGGTATTTTCACAATGATGGGTAAGATTAAAGATTATAATTGACTTTACTTTTAAAAATAAAAATACCAGTATATGGACTCTGAATTGGATGCAGAATGGACAAAGCAAATAGAAGATTGGCACCTGATGCAGAGCTCAATAAGTCTTTGGACCAGATGGTTGAAGAATGACCTCGGTGACAATTTGATTCCCCATTTTCACCCCTTGATCCTGAATACCTGCTAGAATTTCCTATTTCAAATATGAGACATGATAAAGTCTTTGAATGGCATTTAGCAATTGTGAGTATGATAGACACAGCTTTATGGAACAACAATCACTGGTTAAAGTTTTATGCAACTTTTTGACGTGTTTCCTCCGTCTAATCTTGCATAAAACTTTAACCAAAACTTTAAACTTTTGATTAGTGACTGGGCTGAAATAAGTTAAATAACTGTTTAACATTAGCCTCCTAAATATGAAACTTATTTGTGTGTTTACCATAAATTGAAGAGGATAAAGATGTCAAACAGTATGGAAATCTGGAGAGGTATTGAGACTGATGTACATTAAACTTGATTCCATCTGGGCATCTCCACTATCACAATATTACAGAGAAGATAAGGAAGCAAAGTTTTTATATATTTTAGCTACTACAGTAGGAGGTGGATATATTAATGGTGTAGCTGAATCAGTAGCCACTAGTGGATTGTTATGGACTTTAGCTCCACTTGGTATATTTATTGGTTTGATTTTAGGTACAGTAAACACACATCACAATATCATTTACATCAAAACATTTTGATTTATAACTACATGTATATGAATTCTTGATTAGTTGGTGTTTGTGGTTTTCTTGGTTTGATATTCTAATCTATGCAGTCAAAGCTTGTTACAAAATTATTATGGAAATACATTGTATATTGTTCATTATCATGTTGCTGAACACTAAGTACTCAAATCATTGACCTATTATTAGGATAGATTAACTAGTTGTAGACTGAAGAGGAAATATGATAATTGTCCAAAGAATGGACATAATACATATATGTATTTATTTGGAAGCATTCTTATGGGTGTAAATGTAAGTGTTTGTTTTTGTAGGTGGTATAATCTATGCTAGAAGAATGAGAGATGAGAAATATTTAACAATGTTAGATCCGTTTCAACTACGTTATGGATCAGTGGTAGTAATATTGATATATATAGCTAGTTTATGTGGAGATGTCTTCTGGACAGCTTCTATTTTATCAGCTTTAGGTAAGATAAATTAAAGATACTTAAATACAATAGTCTGTCCAATATGAACCTTACATGTTTCTGGGGAACCTGGAAAAGTAATGTTATTGACATTGAAAGGCTATTAATTATTCATCCTCCAAGCAAGATTAGGTCCCATTGCAACAATATTTCTAGCAAATTATGATAACAAATGGAGTACCTTGTCATTAGTTTACTGTCTACTATTGAACAATGTTTTTTTTTACATACACTATAATATTAAAAGATTGTTGATTATTCAGTTTCTGACTGTCTAATTTTACTATTTCAGGATCTAGTCTGGCTGTAATGACTGGTATAAATCGACCGATCGCAGTCTGTGTATCATCAGCTATCACTGTTATCTATACTATGATTGGGCAAATGATTGCAGTAGCTTATACAGACATAGTTCAGTTAATACTCATTATTATTGGCTTGGTAAGTACATCATCTACTTTGACTAAAATAAATGCACAAGTCAAGTCTTCAGAATGTGATCTAAGTATGTATGATACCTTGACAATTTACAGTGGACTCAAGGTCTTGCCAAACAAAGTCATTTTAAAACCTATCAAAAGCATCAAATTCATTTGACTCATTTTATGTAACTTAACACTAAACTCAGAGCCAAACCTCTGTTCATATTGGTCATGACTGATCATGCAGACCTAGACTGGATAATGATATTAATCAATATAAATACTGTTATTTTAGGGTGTCAGTCTACCATATATTTTCACCAATGAGAATACAGGTAACATCAGTAACACAACATGTGATTGGCTGGGAAATATTGAAGTTAAATATACAGGAGTTTGGATTGATTTACTCATTGCTATGGTATGGAATTTTGATTTATAATGAATTTGAATTTGTTTTGAATTCATCAAAGACAAAATAACATACATAAACTCTACGTAGTATTTATTTCCAAAATTGTATAACTTGAAGGGAAATAACCATAAAAGCTTTACAGTTTATTAACACTAAATTTTCGCTACTTAAATCACAGTTCAGATTGAAATCAAATGACAGATCTAAAAATGTTTTTTTTGTTATATGTCTTCCAATGTAGTAACGATATCATTTTGTTTCAGTCTTTTGGAACCATTCCATGGCAGGCATATTTTCAAAGAGTATTATCAGTAAAGAGTGGAAGACAGGCCCAGATATTGTCAGTAGCAGGAGCATTTGGTGCCTTGGTTCTAGTCATACCTTCTGTTTTAATTGGTACAGTTGCTACCTCAGCAGGTAGAGTAATATGTTTTAATCGCTATTTTCTGACAAGAAACCAGATACTTGAATTAAAAGATATTAACAAACAATAAGTAACAAGTATAGTAGGTAACAATAACAATAGAAACAACAACAAAGGCAAAAGAGAAGACATGTAATTGAGCAGTTAATTAGGGATGATCAAAGGTATTACACGGATTAAGATGGGTAAGATTTAGAAGCCACTACTGGGTAGAAGATGAAAGTAACATTAGGAGAGTTCAAAGGGTTAATTACAACAACAGGGTATCCCAAATTCTAGGTAGTTGGTACCCTTGGTTCTGTCTACAGGCTTATAGAATCATTTCTGCAAGTTTGTCCTGTCAGATACCTTGGCATCACTTCATTTAATACATCTCTCTATGTGAAGGAATGTGAAAGAAAGTCAAGGCCTTACCTTACGAGAAAATAACAAGTCCATCATATCACATTTATTTTTAGATTGGAACAGTACAACATTAGGTAAAAACCCTGTAAAATTAGGCCAGGCCAGTGATGTTCTTCCATATGTTTTACAAGAATTTACTCCTTATATTATATCACTATTAGGTAAATATAGATTTGTTTTATTTCCATAAGATTTGCAATGGGAAACGTTTTGAACATTTGCTTGTTTTGGTGTTAAAGCTATAGATTTTCCCAAATTCTTTTTGACAGTGATGCAGGTCATATTAATTGTGTGTGTCCTACAATAAAGACTAGTCAAGTTTTTCCTGATAACTTGACATAATGTCCCTTTCCACACAATGAGTGTTGTTCCTTGCTTTGTTGAGTACACATCAAATGTAAATAAATTCGGAAAATACAATGATCTGATTGATCTGAACTAGCACTTGATAAAATTGGCATTTAGAAAAACAGTGTTATAACTTATAAAATGATAGAAGAAACTTTTTCATTTATTTATATTGCTTATTGTTTGTTTTCAGGATTAGGAGCTATCTCCGCAGCTGTGATGTCATCAATGGATAGTTCTATATTAGGTTCATCATCAATGTTTACGCATAATATTTATAATAATATATTCAGAAAAAAGGTAAGTGGTTTCTGCTGCATCGTTGATTTCCACTCCCCCAATACATATAGCTAACAATCTATTTAAATACATCTCTAGATAATCTTTTTCTCTATTGTCTGTTGACTGTAGTTGTTAGGAATCTTCTGATGATTAGATTTAATTCATATAATTTTATGCCAACCTACCCAACACCCTTTAATACAGCAACATTATATAAATGTATTTATTATAATGAAATATGATTTATTATAGGCCAGTCTGTTAGAGTTACAAATTGTCCAACGAATAGCCATCTTTATATTAGGATGTATGGCCACAGCAATATCATTATCAGTACCTATATTATATGGACTATTTATATTAGCAGCAGATATTGTGTTTGTTATTGTTCTTCCTCAATTGACTTGTGCTATATTTCTTAGAAGGACTAACAACTATGGCTCAATTTGTGGATATATTGTGGGCTTAGTGCTACGTTTAGGTGCAGGAGAACCTGAGTTTAATCTTTCAGCTTTTATATATTATCCTTATTATGAAACTCAAGCAGGACAACTTTTCCCATTCCGGACTTTTGCAATGGTGTGTTCCATGATAACAATTGTTATTGTATCTGAATTAACAAACTTATTTTTCAATCGAATTGTGTCTGCTCAATCTTGTGATATTTTTGGATCTTTTGATTATGATATTGTGGATCAATCAATGCAATCGAATCATTTAGCTCGACCAAGAAGAAAATCAGTTGATAAAGAGGAACTTACAATATTATAAGGAAATTTATAAATTTTTAGTTTTTTTACTGCATGTGATAATGAAGGAAAGTGAAAAGGAATCCAGTAATGTATTTTCAATGAAAAAACTCACAGTTGAAGCCAAAATTTTGTATACTTTTACAAATTGATCCATACATGCTTGCAAAGTATTTTTTATATATGAACATGTGTTATAAGTAAGTTATTAAGTCTTATGTTCACTCCTTGCAGGAAAATTGATTTTTCACTTCTAGTGAATTCACTCTTCATTTATGTTCTGAAGAATATTCTCTTTTTTATATGCCCACATCTGTCTATGTGGACGTATATTGCTTTAAAAACTAGATTTTTTGATGGAATCAAATGAAATTCGGTATGTGTGTACATATTCATAAAACGAAGATCAAGTTCGAATTTGAGCTATTTTCGACCGTTAGAAGCAGAGTTATTGCTCTTGCCCCAAAATCTTGAATATGCTATTACTCTCTTAGTTCAACCGATTTTGATGTAACTTAAAATGGATGTTATTGGACCTAAATCGAAAGGTTTGAGAAAGTTTAGTTTACTTCTGATTAAATTTAAGGATTTTTCAAGATTTAGGCCTCTTACGTCAGTTTTGAGGAGTTACCGCCCTTTAACCTCTGTACAGTAAGTGCTTCTATCATCATCAATTAATCATCAAAAAATCTAAAAACTAGAGTGTTTGAAGGAATCAAATGAAATTCGGTATGTTCATACATATTCATGAAACAAAGGTCAGTCCGTCCGTCCGTCTGTCCGTCCTGCATTGTCACTACTTTTAAAAGCTGTCTGAATATGATCCACTGGTCCACTATCTTTATCACATTATTCAGACAGCTTTTAAAAGTAGTGACAATGCAGGTCAGTGTTAAATGATGAACAATCTCACCTATGGAAATGAAACTTTTAATAGAACAGAAAAATATTATAATGATCTAGATCATAATGATGTTTGTAATCATTTCCCCAGATCATGGTTGGCAGGTCCAATTGACCAAAGACATGGGCATGAAACAAAGAATCGAGATGCGCATTAGAATGAGATTACTAAGAATATCTGCATATGAAATTATCAAGTAGCAATATGAATCTCCACATATCAAATTAATAACCTCTATAGACCAAAGGAACAAATATAAGCTATATATATTTATACATTTTGAATATTTTAAATTCTTTTAGAAGTGATATTTAAGTTTTTACAATATTTCAACTGATTGATTGTGCTTAAGAAATAATATTTGCAAAAACTATGCTAGAATAAAAGGAAACATTTTGTATGTGACACCCCTATACCTTCTTGAACTTTCAAACTGTGTAAATGTCAATGCTTCCTTTTACAGCTGGATTGGAACACTCTTTTTGTGGAAGTGCAATAGCTCAGTCAGTAGTAAGTTGAGGTGTCGTCTGCTAGGTGATTAGGTGCCGTGGGTTTGAATTCTCCTCAAGTTAAGAAAAATTCTGATGCCTGTGCCCGTGCCAGTGTCAGCCCAATGTTTGCTCTCACCTCCTAATACATAAATCATTTAATTGAACTGTTTCCTTGTATTTGCTTTCTTTTAATTAACCAGTTATGAGAATCTGTTCATATAAACCATAAAATTAGCAACAAAACAATTTGTGACTGTGAGCATTTTATAGCTACTGCTCTTTGATATGAAGTATTTTTATGATGTCTCTTTTGGTAGAATTTGAGGTCTGTATAACTCAGGGTTCGCACAGCCTTGAAAAACCCTTGAATTCCGTCTGTTGCCTTGAAAAACCTTGATTTAAAAAAAAACCCATTTTCTCTTGAAAAGTCCTTGAATTGAGTCAAATTGTGTACATTTTTATCATTAACCCCATTGAAAAATATTAACTATCTTTATTGATTTCACAGTTCAGAAGTTAGGTACATGTGTATTCTGTCAGACTAATATCATTGAAAAGTCCCTGGATTTCAAAGCCCAGAGTCCTTGAAAAGTCTTAGAATTTTTGAAGCAAAGTGCTGTATGAACCCTGTAACTGTATAACTGTTCAAGAATCTGAATGGAATTCCACATCTATTTATGATGTAGTGCTATATGTATATATAATTTGTTTTTTTGGTTTGATTATGATCTCTGTGTATTTATTTTAATAAATGTTATATTGTTTGTTGTATTGTTTGTTATATTGTTTGTTGTATTGTTTGTTGTATTGTTTGTTGTATTGTTTGTTGTATTGTTTGAAAGATGTATGTTAATGTTCATGTTGGTTAAGAATTCTGAAAAAATAATCTTAAACTTTCTTGGACTGTTAATGGATATTTGACGTGTAGCTCTTTAGTCTGTAGACCATATTCTGGACATTTTGATAAAGGTTGAATTATCCACATAGTAAAAGGTCAGTCAGAAAATTTAAGGTTCACTTTCAAATTATATCTTTAAAGCATTTTCAAATTTTTTTCTGTTTCTTCAATAATCAGACTGTTTTTTTTAGTTATTTAAAGAAATGACCGATAGAAAGGATATATGATTATGATTGTTTGTTGTTGTCGTCTAGTCATAAGTTTTTTTAACAACAAATTTTGTGTTAATATTTAACTCTTGATGTGGAATGATTGTTTGCAGTGGCAGATCCAAAGGGGTGGCAGAAAAGGGTCCCCTGCCCCCCTCGCAGCCCCAAAGGCATGTTTTTCGGGCAAAAATATCATAACATGGTTAGAAATTCAGGCAACCTCAGGTATTTCGCCCCCCCTCAGACATAAACCTGGCTCTGCCACTGATTGTTTGCCTATAGATCTTCAAATCTTAATTAATTTTAGAGGACAGCAATAGTTCTGAGGTAGAAACAGAATCAATAGCTTGATTCTTTAATAGTCAAGAGTCCATAGTGTCATAGTCAAAAAAGCTTTTTTTTTTTATTGTGAATTATCAATGTAATTGATTTTGTTGGTTTTTATTATATAATATATAACTATATTTTTGCTTGTTTGAGTTATTGTTACATACGAATGTACTCCATATGAAAGTATGCTGTTGATAGACCTGCCTATGTCTGTCTGGCTATCTATTTACATTTGTTATCAAGGCTGTTTTGCAACCTGTTTTAAACAAGTTTAAACTCCCACATGTTAATATCAATATATATTATCATCCCACCTCAATTCACATGCCCTTCTGTAAATTTGCTTTGTAAACATGTAAGTAGACCATATAATTTAGATTTTATTTTGATCATGTCTAAGAATATGGGCAAGATATTGGATGAATATGAAAAGGCACAAATATACTATGGCATATGTGCAATTAGGATGTGCAATATTTAAGACTCTATATTTCAAATTGAAACTGTCCGGAATTACTGTTGTGTTTATACTGAAATTCAAGTTTGAATCCCTGGAACATTAGAAATAATTAATGGAAGTTGATCAAGAAAATGAAAATGAACAAAAATTGTAAGGATCAAATGAACTAAAAAAGGTTCTTTAACTGTAAAAATATAGAATTAAACTCAACATTCTCTTGTTTTTAATCAATTTATATATTAATATTACAGAGTCAGCAGTTTACCAAGTATTAATTAGACTTTATTTAAATTACTTTTCACCATTAAAGTGACATTGATATATGTTACTTTTAATGAAGTGAAAGTTCACTTTTTCGATGAACATTTGAAATGTCACTATACTCCAACAAGATAAACATATAACTATGTCAAGTACCCACATTATTGCCCTTAGTTCAATCTTTTTACAACTGGATCATTATTATTCTAAAACCCAACTTTACACCTTTTCAATTTGTTGACATACGTCTTGGTGATCATTCAGGCATGCCCCTTTTAGACAGACATTAATATGTGAGCTTTGGAGTAGTAAACAGTGTTTTGTTTGTTCTTTCGTCATTTATGCACAGTTGTAGGATAAAATAACGTGAAGTGACATCGTACCGTGGTTTTTGTGCATCTTGTAATCTGTGAAACTTAGTGTTGTGTAAATTGGAGAGGATGTACTTTATATGAATGGTAAGAAGCTTTTGTATCCAATTGAATGGTTTAAGATGAAATTAAACAAACCTACAAATTTTGAAAGATTGGTGGTTTCTGTGTTAATAATTGTAATACTTGTTCATTGCTAAAGTTTGAAATCATATACCTTTAAATAAATATTAATTTTTGTTGATCAAGTAGGTAATTCAACAGATTTCAGTCAAAAAGATAATACAAAATTTATGCATTACTAAAATATTAATAAGTCAAACTTTAATTTCAATATTTCAGAAAAAATTCATAGCCATGAACTCAACTGAAGAAAGTTATTAGTGAGTTTATTCATAACCATGATAAAAAAAACTATAGATAAATAGCTGAACCCTGTCTTACACCAACTTTCATCTTTAAATTTACTTGGCAGTCAAAGGTTAGTCTAGTTTACATAGTATTTACATTTACAGCCAAACACATCTTTTCAACTTGTTTCACAGTTTACTCTTATACTTTCGCTCCCTTGAATTAAGTCTTCAAAATACCGTTTGTTCATTTCGTTTTATCTTCTTGTTCATTTGTCATTCAACAGCGGTTTTCTGATTTGAAAATTTGAATGTTTATCATGAATTCTATTGCTATTATTAATGCTACATTTTTCTCATTGCACACTGTATTACATGTAGAAAATGAATCTTCCTATTCCAATCATTTCTTTAGGTCAAAAATCTATGTAACATACATTTGCATATTTGAAACTTGAGACTGCTAAGGAGCTCAATAATAGGTTATTGAACCTTCTTATGAGCTCATGTAATTTGTAGGTAAAAATATACTTGTTATTAACAATTTTGGAAATTATGTTTGAAAGTTTGCTTTCACACTTGATAAAGTTTCCAAACTTTTTTATTAAAACTTTTTTTATAGAGACCTTTTTTAATTTTTAAAACTTATATGCATCTAAAAAGATTGATGGTATTGTCATGCTCTATTTGCCATGATTTTGTAAAAATATTTTTCATCTATTTTATTGGAAAAGTATAGTAAGAGATA